GAGACGGACCCCGTCCCATATTTCGTTTTCAAGGAAATAAAAAGATAGTTGATCCGAAACCGAAATTGGGACCAGAACAACCTCCAAATTGGTGAACCGGGACCGGGTACCATTCTTGGAAGGATTGGTGAACCAAGGACTAGGTACCATACTTGGGCGGATAGGAGGGGTCCCAAGCCCGAAACCAGAATTTCATGATCCGGCCCAGCCTGGCCGAAACACTGTTGGATCCGGTTCCAAACTTGGCCAGACCGGGTCCACCCCTATTTAGTTTATAATAGTCCGTGCACTAGATTGATTTTTAGTTTTCGTAGGAAATTCACTTTTTATATAATCTACCTTATGAGTACCATAGAATCTACCTTTATATAATCCGATTACTTTAACTTTATCATCCATTTACTTTTTCTGATTACTTTTTATATAATCCATTTATCGTCCATAGTCTATGGGTTTTCAGTTGTCAATTTGCATTTCGGCCCGTTAATTTTGTGATCATATATGCTCAGCAGATATATACTCTAGATTATCTTAGTCGAGTGCTGTCCATATGCATTTTTACACTTGCAAGATACTACATCCCTTCTGAATTGATTTGTAAATTTGACTTTTCTTAATGAAACAGTTTCATTTTATTTGTTTAATTTAGATGTCATTTTTTAATTATATTCTAATTTGCTTAAAGAGACTTTAATATAGTTTCTGAAATAGTGTAACACCCGGGGCATGCCCCGGTAGTGTCATTTTAATATAAATTAAAGTGATAAATATTAATAGAGGTTGTGAATTTTTTACAGAACTTATTAATGGTACTTTTAATGTTGAAAAGTGAAATATGTTTACTGCTATTTTGTTGAGAAATGAGAAACATGATGTCAAATAATTCATGTTTGTATGATATATTATTTTGGTTTTACATCTTGAACAATTCCTTGCAAAACCACCACCACAATTCTCCGGTGAGGCGGCGACGAACTTTGATCCGGCGGTGACAAACGAACCAGCGAGTCGGCGATGTGGTATAATACCACCACAAACGTGTGGTATTATCCCCACACGTTTGTATGATGTCACAAGGATTAAGGAGATGCTATTCGAAATTGTGGTGGTGGTTTTGCAAGGAATTGTTCAAGATGTATGGTTGATGATCCGTCCCCCTCCCGAGCCACCGTCGAGGATGATGTTTGAAGAATGGATTCTTTGGCTATGTCAGTTTATTTTATGAAATTTCGTTTTACTCTTTTTGAGTTCTTAAGGCATGAATGTTGTCGTTGTTGTTTTCTGTTATTTTTATTGCAGTCAGACTCTTGCATTAGGTTGGGGTGATGAGGGGTTTACTCTAACCATGTTAGGCTCATTTAGATCCATTACAGCATCAGTGAGCTATATTGCTTTGTCGAGGGTGATTGACTCTAAAGCTGGTTCAATGGTCGGTGGTTTGGAGTGGTCCTTTTGTCTTCTTGTTCCCTAGCTGAATGCTGTGATATCAATTTAAGTCACCTTGTTACAAAAAAAAGTTTTTTGATTTTTCAAACTTTTTTTTTCGATTTATTTATTTATTTATTTATTTATAAATATTTCTATGATTTTTATTTTTTATAAATAAAATTATATTTTTTTGTTAAACTACTACCTCCGTTCTTTAATATTAGTCCTCTTAGGATTTGACACGAGTTTTAAGAGGAAAGTAGTAGGGGTAGTGTAAAAGGTGTAATGAGTAGTGGGTAAATGAAAAAGTAGGAAAGAGAAAGGGGTAATAGTAATAAAAGTTGGGGTATAAAGGTATATTTAGAGTAAAAACTTTCCTTAAATGAAAAGGAGGACAGATAAAAAAAAAAGTCCCAAAAAGAAAAGAAGGCCTAATAAAAAACAACGGAGTATATTACTTCTATATTCTGAAAAAATCTATATATATATAAAAACAAAATAGTGGGGAAGAACTTTTGGAGGGAACACTGTAGCACTTTGTAAAAGCAATAATGTAATACCGTAGTGAGACTTAGTGTGACTGAGGAGATAGCTAAAATTAATTGAGAATTTTAATTTTAATACACCATACCTAATAGCCCTGCGTAGTGCGTACCATTCATTAATGATAGAACAACTTTTGAGGTGCCTTTTGGTATTCTCCGTATACAATTGGATATAATACCATTGGCCACGTTAAAAAAAATGTATTTAATGTTAGATCAAAGCAATTCATTTATCCTACCTCTCATATTTCAAAGCAAACTTGAAAATGGATATAAATTGGTGGTGTAATTAATTGGATGGCGAAGGCATTTAGTAATTCCGAAACAACTCATTCATTAAGTAGCGTATGGAGTGATATTTGAAGTTCTCGAGATTTCTTAATTATATAAATCGCTGTCTTATATAAAGATGATAAATGTTGGATCGTATAACGAGCGAAATAGGATATATAATTATGGTTTTTGTCACGGATGTAGCAAGGGCGGTGGTGGGGGCCGGGCTTCGGTGATCGCTGGCCGGGTTTGGGTAGCTAAGGTGGTTAATAGACGTTTGAGTCAGAGATAGTGCTTGGGAGACCAGTAGTCAGCGACTCAGCGGCAGCGGACCCAAAAATATATATTTTCTACTAGCCAACGAGTGTTTTGGTCTCCATGGCATTAGGGAGAGCGAAAGGAGGTAAAGAGTTGTCTTCGATTCACCAACTAGACAATGGTTTATTGATTTCTTCTACGACATATATAGTTTCAAATTTTTGTTAGAGTGAGGAACTTAAATGCATGGGTCGTTTCTATTATTCTATATATGTATTTTTCTTTTTGTTTTATATATGCTGATCGGACATTTGATATGTGTTCATCATCTTTATGAGAGTGTGGGCATATGAAAAACCCATTCCAAAACAGATGACTTTGATTTATTTTTATTAAATACGGAGTAAGTGTCTATGTAGTATAAATATGTATGTACTCCAAAACAGATGACTTTGATTTATTAAATAGTACTCCGTATGTATATATCTATAAGTGTGTGTATTCAAAACCGCTGCTATGGGTGTTTGTTGGGAGAATGCTATGAAAAGAAAGGGAAGAAAGTGGAGGCTCAAACGTGTTAGAAGGTTGCTCAAAGTCCAGCTATAGAGGCCGGTTGCCCTTTTCCATTTAAGGCGAATTCTATGGTACACATGAGGTACCATACTTTTGTCCACATGGACTAATGACAATGTATATGTACCAGTTGAATTATTTAAATCTAAATTAAAAATCATAAAGTGATGTGGTCGAACTAAATAAATAGTAGGTACGGTACCTCAATTTTTAGAAAGGTACCCGAATTGTCACCTTTCATTAATCACTTCCGATCAAAGGATATCGATTTTAGTCATTTACATCTCCTCTCTTCTTTCATTTTCAGTGGAGAATGGAGATACTTATATGTTTAAGCTGAATTTCACCACTCTTTGTAGCAACAGTAATACTTCGGTTATAAAAGATACTCCGTATATGCTATGAATAACACAAACAAATGGGTCTTCATGTGGGCGGACTTGAATATCAATATGATTGGGTGATATTGTATGTATAATTTCTTTTTTTTCTCAAAAAAAAAAAGAAATTATATGACGGTTCTTATTTCTCATAAATCAAACAACATTTCCAAAAACACAAGTATATTGTTGGGATGAATTGTCTAAATCCTTTAATAGTCGTCAAGTCTTCATTAGGAGTAGAATTGAAGAGATACGTAGTATTAGTTTTACTTTTGTTCAAATTAAAAAGACTTTATTTTAGCTATATACTTTAGACAAATTTCCACAAATAAAGATACATTCTGCTGCTTGATATGTGTATACTATTGTCTAGAAATAATATCTACGGAGTATTACATATAATACTACGTATTATTTACGTGAAGATAAGAAGATACATAAAATCAGCAGTATAATTATCTGGTTTAGTTAATTGGATGTTAGTAGAAAATTAAAGAATACATACTACATCTTATTATATATCGATGGGTTTGTGAAGAAAATACTTAATTATATTAAACTTCAATCAAATAATTATAAATTGTACAAATATCCAGAATTATCAATGTTGCTGCTCTATGGGTGTTACTCATAGTCATAGGGGAAAAGTAAAAATACTTTATTTGTTCAAGTCTTAATCTATTTCACTATTTGTGCTAATTATTACTTTATTTTTGCTAATTTAGATATGCTTTTAATTAATACTCTCTACACAAATTTCAACCACATATCTTTAAAGTAATTTTCACTTACATTTCAAGTAATAAATGTGTTATTAAAGTAACTTTCTTTTTCTATACAAATCTTAATCATAAAATTTTTCCTTTATTAGTTTACATGAAGGCCAAATTTAACCAAGTTTTACTAGACCAATGAAACATGTATAATTTATAGGGGAATTTTGAGTTCGCACCCTACATTTTGGGTGATATTGGACTTTGCACCCCATTTTCAAAACTTTTAGACTTTGCATCCTATCTACAACATTTTGTGTAGAAAAAATCCTGAATGGGGTGCAAAGGCAAAGACATTTCAAGACAAATAGGGTGCAAAGTCTAAGAATTTCGAAAATGGGGTGCAAAATCCAATATTACCCAAAAAAGCGGGGTGCAAAGTCAAAATATCCCTAATTTTTATTGTTCAAAAATTTACTTTTACATACTCCCTCTGTCCCTAAAAGAAGTTCCAACTTTCCCTTTTCGTCCGTCCCAAAAAGAAGTTCACTTTCCCTTTTTGGCAAAGAATTTGTGGTTCACAACATTTCTCTCTCCTCTGCACAACTCTCCACCACACAATTCTCATTTTCTTAATCACCGTACCACTTTAATTTGGAACAACAATTAGGGACAGAGGGAGTAATTAGAATATATTTTCCCGTGCATCGCACGGGTACTATACTAGTGTTAATAATAGTGCTATAGTGGAATTTTTGGGCTACTTTTAGTAGTTGGGCTAATCGCAGAGAAAGAATACTAATCCAGAAAAGTCAGCGCTAATAAAACCAAATCAAATTCTCACTTATTATCCCCAAGCAAGAACTTGTTTCCAGTCTTGCGCAATTCATATACTTCCTAATTCCTATATACACACTATCTTCGTGGCAAAGATCATTAGCAGCACTTCATAATCTCTCATTAGAAAAAAGGGAAATCAGAAGAGAAATTGCAGAAATGTCAATGGGAGGAGGAGAACCAGATAGAGTTCAATCGACAGTGCATAATCTTGGATCAAGCTTCGTAGAAGAAGGTAGTTCGCCGCTGTACAACCAAATGATTCTACCGGTTTCCTCTCCACCTAGCTCTTACCAGCTCCCCGCCGGATACGGCGGTGGAGAGGCGCCTCTAACGACTCCAGCTCAGCCCAGTCTCAACCCTAGCGTAACAGAAACGGTCAAGAAGAAGAGAGGAAGGCCTCGGAAGTACGCTCCCGACGGGAGTAGAAACCCCGGGATGATGTCTCCGGTAAGATCTTTGTCCCCGGCCGGGACACGCGCGGCGGGGACGGAAACCTCTCCCAAGAAAACCAGGGGCAGGCCTCCTGGGCGTGGACAGAAGCGGAAAATGGATGAAATTTCCGCTTCGGCTGCTGTTCCTGTAGGTATGTATACCTGCAATCTACATTGGCTATTTCCCAATAATGTTCTTCTTCTGATTAATTATCATTAAAATTATTTTCTTGTTTATTGTTGTTTATTTTTCTTTCTATTTTATATTAATATAAAATAATTGGGAGAATCGGAGTAATAGTTAATTTACTTTATACTTTATTATTATTTGGAGTTGGACAATACTCCTTATAATATACGCAATAACATAAAACTTCATATAACTATGACGGAGTAATATATAATAATGGGGAAAATTTGAAATTCTTTTAGTCAGGCTTCTAATGTCTTCTTTAGTATATTGGTCCAAACCGATAGTTCGATATTAATTTTTTTCTTTATCGTGGATAACTTTATATTATTCCGCTATATATCTGATTTTATACCAGCTTTGAATATCTCCGGAACTTGGAATTTTCTTATATAAGTGACCATTGGTCCATTTCCATTGCAGAGAGACAAAGAGCTTTCTTGATATTAATTCTGCATTGTCGGGGATGGGACAGGGCAGGAGGGATGATATTAATTCTTCAGATAACTTCTGCATTTTGATGGTTGGAATCATAGTGAGGATAAAAAGTGAAAACTATGTAGACATACATGGTCTGTTGGTCTAAATAATCATATATGTAGTAGTTATTATAAGTCTAAAACCAACAAAGATAGATAGATAGATAGATAGATAGATAGATAGATAGATAAGTAAAACCAGTCCTCCCAATTTCCTTCGCTCCGAAACCCCTAACCAAATTAGTCCTTTGGAGCAATATGTGCAGCTACTTCAATATGTTATTGATGGCTTTAATTCTTATTTGTCTCCAAGTCACTTATAACATGTGAATATGCAGGATCACCAGGAGCTGGGTATGGATTTAAACCACACGTCATCACAATAAATGCTGGAGAGGTATAGTCTTATTACTCTGATTTTTATCCCACACTATCTCTATCCTTTTTGTCAGCAATATGGTGTTTTTCATTCTTCTATACACATTTCCTGTTCTACCTTCATTAGGTCAAAATATAGAAATTCCTCTACCTATGTAACCTTCAGTAGAGTTCCTTTTTAGATCTTCCTTGCTCTGTTGCTGTTTTGAGTGTTTTCCAATCCACTCTTGCATACAAGTTGAACAGTCACTGATGACGTAGATATCCAGATAATAGTACAAGTACACCCTTCCTTTCTTCTTTGAAAATAAATTTCCAATTTTATTTCTGATTTCTATGGGCTACGGCTCTGTGAGAAAATGTGCTCTTCCTGTTTGGTTTAATTTGTCTAGCCCGTCTAACTCTTCAAGCGGATTCTTTTTTGGTGTGCTATTAATGTAATAGAGTATACAAATAAGTTTTTCCTAAAAGAATACTCTGTATTACACTATTCTAAAGACATAACAATGTCATTAAAATTATCAATATGCAACTTGGTCGAACAGTAGCAATGCATCATGATCCAAACAAACACTCCTTTCACTGTTTTCTTCTTATATTTGGATTACGCTTCAGTTGCTTATGTTTGAAGTTTGAACATCCAACTCAGTATTTTTAGTTGTTCTTGACAGGATGTACAGGCAAAATTGATGTCATTTTCTCAAAGCACATCCCAAGCAATCTGTATTATGTCTGCAAATGGTGCCATATCTAATGTATCTCTTCGTCAACCAGCAATATCTGGCGGGTCTGTGACGTATGAGGTTTGTACTCGTGTTTTTTTAACACTTTTTACCACACCCCTTTGGGATATATTTAAATTCCAATAACTCTGGGAATTTAAAAAAAATTACATGCTTTTAGTATAAAGCTTTTAAAGGATTTATTATTTGTTATTAACTAATACAATCCATTCCAAAGTTCCTTTTTAGAAATCATCTCCTCTAGATATGCCATACACCCATACGTAGTATTATTTAAGTAGATAATATACCCAGGATGGGTGGATAAGAGTACTATGTATGAGGTTTTACCGTTAAATACTTAAGTGTTTGTATGATAGTGCATACGTAAATTTATACTAAGAATCTGTACTTACGGACTACCAAAACCAAAACTACATTTGCATATCTAAATGATTAGGACATGGTTATATTCTGCTAATGGGATTGTTTGAATAAACTATACTGATTCTGTTGCATTGATTTTACTCTGTATTGCCTTTTATTGTTTAAAGTTTTGACTTGTTTTATTGGGTACATGTGAAATATGGCAAGTGCTCTCAATATCCTGAAACGTTTTATATTTGGGGGATATCTCGTATACCAGTTTGGTCCATTGAGCATAATTGTATTGTTCTAAATTACATGCTCCCATGTCTCTTGCATTACATAAGAAGGTTATTCATTTTAATGCTTCTACAGGGACGGTTTGAAATTCTATCACTTTCTGGATCCTTCATATACTCTGAAGTTGGTGGTCAGCGCAGCCGAACGGGTGGGTTGAGTGTATCTCTAGCTGGGCCAGATGGTAGTGTATTAGGTGGCAGTGTCGCTGGTCTTCTGATTGCAGCTGCTCCTGTTCAGGTATTTCTATACAAACAGTTCTCTATAATTCAATATACATATTATTTATTTATTTATCATGGTCACAGAGATCGCTTGTTTATGGACACCAGACAAATGGCCTGGAATCCAGGGTGCCTAGGTTACAACTTAGGCTAAAACACATACCCGCCCATCGGGCAAACTGTTTTTTTCTTAACACAATTAAAAACTATTTTATAATTAAACAGTCATGTCACAACTTGTTTTATATGGTTCGTGGTGTTAATGTTAAATTTGTAAGTTCGTTTATTACATTCAACTAAAAATGGAAACAATTTGAATACAAAATTGTTCAGTCTTTGCTTTGTTTAACAGTGAAACACATAAAATGGGACAGAGTGATTTGAAAAATTTATAAGCGGAACTATAGTGTTGTATTTTACATCTAGTATTTCTCTAAAGAAAAAAAGAGATACTTAACGAAGGTAGCTTTTACCAATAAATGTCAGTTAAAGATGCTTGGCGGGGATCTCGTAGCCAGAGTTTTACAATAGTTAGTTTTTTTATAAACTTTGGGTATATAAATAATTAAATACAGAGCACATATTTGAGATAGGTATTGCAGTCGAATTTTATTTTGTGAAGAGTGATTTTCCTTGTTTGCATAGCGAGAAAGCCCTTGTTTGACATTTCTCATCTATCTGCTGCTGCTTCAGGTTATTGTTGGAAGTTTCCGTGTTGACGTTGAGCAGCTACAGAAGCCAGGCCGTAGTGAGAGGCTGTCTGCCTCTCCTCCTCCTCCTCCACTAGGCAAGCCTCCGGCCAAGGGTCCTAGAAGTCCACCTTCATTTGGAAGCCTAAGCGAATCCAGCGGCCCACCCAGCCCTCCGGCTCCTACGGGTCATAACCAACACCTCCTTGAAACATCAACTAGCAGTGCGCCTGGAGTCTCAAGCTTTCCGTGGAGCTAGTATTAGTTGAGCTTTCAAAGTACAATTCAGGTCCGGTTTACAATTTTAACTCTTGTAACTTCTCGGTTCTAAGAACTCTACCCCCAACCCCACCCTACCACATCTTGAATGCTTCCATAAGAAGAAACTTTTAGCAATTTATTAGTGTAGCGAGCATGTAATGGGACGGCCGCTGACTTCGGAATCTTCTTTTTTTTAGCTAGGTAAGTGACACAGTACTGGGTAGTTCTGATTTGCGATTTCCAAGTAAAATTGAGTTCAGTTTTTCTTCTTCTATTGTCTAGCCACGGATACTTCACTACTTATGTAGGATATCCCTATTCCGTACCAACGTATAGTACGTTCTTGGGACATATTTGTAACTTATTAAAAGTTTTCAATTTTGTTTTGTAATTATTTGAAAAATTAGAAACATGATGTATAAACGTATCAACTTTTTTTGTAAAGAAAATGCACAAAAATTAAATTATAAAAGTATGAAAAACTAAAAACTAAAAACTAATTCTAATCAATCCCACATTATCTTGACTGATGTGCCATCCACTCATCCCTAATTCGCTCTTAGAGAATTGCAAAAGTCATATTCGTGAACTGATAATATATAAATACGTAGTATATTCCACTGATCCACTCAACTTCTTTCAATCTTTTATCTTCACGACTTTAAATTCTTCCAATAAGTAAGCATTTTAATAATGAGTTCGTAAATTACAAAAATAAGAAGATCTCATCGGTGTGTAAATGCATATTCAACTAATCAAGGAACCTGAATGAGATTGGATCAAAACACATACAGGATACAAGTGATATTAGTCGAAAATAGAAATAAAAAGAGATGAAAATCAATACAAATGAGTGGGTTCGAAGTTGGGGCAGAGATGATGTATTCTGGTTTTGAACTTGAAGAGGGAGAAGAATTGAAAACCATGACGAAGCTGATAACATAAATGAGGGAGCGAGATAGTGTGGCGATAGAGAAGCCTATACTTGATTTTGGAGAGTTCCACACAAATGAATAAAATATTAAGTTAAATGTTTTGTTATAATTTTTATGGGTTGTCTTCGATGATTAGCTGTACTCTCAATGCAGATCATACAATATAAGCCATATATCAAATTAATTTATTGTACATGTGTTAATTATATTATATATATCTATAAAGTTAGACAATTACAGTTCAAAAAATTGCTTCCAGTGACTAGTTACTCTTATTGCTCGGGCTATATTTGAGCACGGCTATTCAAGTAAGATAACAAGGCATAGTATCAAGTGCAAACTCTAATTAAACAAACACGCCACCCCTACTGTGTATATAATACGAAGTACGTAGTACAAGTATATTATCAAATCACCGGAACAAACTAAATTCGTATAAATGAAAGTGAAAGATATGAAGCATAATAATAGAGACTGAGGATAGAGTGATACTAATTTTTAAGATGAATGCATTATCCATCTTTACAATACAAGAATGATTCCACTCCGCGATGTAGTAAGGTCATTAAATCTCCCCTAAGCACAACGCAACACTAATATGCCCCTGATTTTATTCTTATGAGATGTTTTGTTCGTCTTATTTTTTTATTGCTGGCTATTGTTTTATTCAAAGCAAATGAGCAAAAATTCCGATCATATCAGATCTGAAAGATACAAATCAAATCAGATAACAAAGATTCAAATCCGATAAGAAACATTTAGATCAGATTATAAAAATTCAGATCATATCGAATTAGAAAGATTCAAATCAGATTAGATAAAAAAGATTCACATCCAATAAAAAACATTCAAATCAAATAAAAACAATTCAATCCGGGACCAGCCAGTCCCGGTTTGTGAGGTTCGGAGGCCGGAACCGACTTAAATATTACGGGTCCTAGCCTGGTCCTGGTCTGGTTCATGCGTTTCTTATTTAGTACTCCCTCCATTCCGAAAAGGTTGACCAAATTTTCATTTTTAGATGCCCCAAAAAGATTTTTCATTTCCATTGAAAGTAAGGAACATGTGGCTAAAATTAATTATCTCTCCTCTGCACAAATCTCAACCACACATTTTTTTACTTTATTAATCCACGTGAAAGTCAACTTTGGCCAACCTTTTCGGGACGCGGGAAGTAATACAAATAACGAATTTTTTACTTAAAAATGAAATGTAGATTTATTTGAAACACCATACTCACTTCGAGTCTTAGACATTTAGAAATTACAATTGACAATAGTTTATATGCATTTCATATTCGTTGGAACTCTTGATTCCGACGTCGGTTGTCGTTTCCTCCCTGAAGAGGTGGTCCGATGCTATGTTAACATTTGAGTTCTATGGGGAGCTTTCAACCAATCATGGAAGCAAATGAGCGTCTCAAGAGATTACACGTTCAACCTCATTCTATAATCGATCAGTGTGTTGCCACCTTCATCTGTCGCTTACTATTTTTTCACAACCAACTACACATCTTTTTATTTATGTATCTAAAACTGGGTTCATTCATTTTTTTGAACATATTAGTCCTTCTAGGTTTTAGAATTTTGCAAATTAGTCTTCGATCTCTTTCTTTAATAAAAGAGTTTAGAATATATAATTTTTTGACATTATAATTTTTAGGGAAAAGGATCAAATAGACCCACGAACTAACTTAAAAGTGTCAAATCACCCCTTTTATATGAGGCTCTGTCTGGCCATCGCCATTTAGGGCGATTCCCGGTGGAATTTTTTGATGATTTTTTTTTGAGAATCCCCTTCTTTAAGTCTAGTTTGCCCATACCAAATTTCAGATAAAAATTCAACCGGGAAGACAGTCAAATGATTTTTTGAAATGTGCTGACCCTGTTTAACTATTGTGAAGGTGATGGCGGCGACAATAGGCTACCTATTGTGATTGGTAGCAATTAATAATTCTACAATGCGTGCACGTTACCTTTTGAAAAATTCGATACTAAGAAAACACCAAAGATTTATGTTGCAATATATGTTCGGGCATTCCATGTTGGGGTCATAATATTTGTTTCAATTTTTTAGATACTCCCCCGTCTCATAAAATTATTCCCAAATTGACTTGGGTTGAAGTTTAAGAATGTGGGAATAAAGTGAAAATATATGATTGTGGTTGAGTAGAAAAAAAATAAATTAATGTTAGCCACACAAAGCTTTCCAAAGAGGGAAATGTGAAGATTTTTTTTGGACGTTCCAAAAAGGTAAGTGAGATAAATTTAAAGGGACCGAGAGAGTCTTTGATATGAAGTATGCATATTTCTATGGATTAAAATATGACAATATATTTTAGAAATAATTACATAAATATGATCAAGATAAAGATGATTTACAAAAATACAATTAGTTACTAGAGTAGTAATGAAATCATAGTAATTCATGTTCATATTTTGAACTTAAGTTACCACAACACTACGTTATAGTAATGAATAGTCATATTTATGTAAATAAGTTTTATTTTAGAAATATTCTTGTAAAAATCCCATTATTTTAAATCTTAAGATGCATGATTACATGTATTAAATTTCGATTCCTTTTATGTTTTACTTTTTCTATATTAGCGTTTTAAATTGTACGACTTAGAAAAGACTACGTACAAGATTGAGACTATTTAGATCCGTGCATGGGAGGAACTTAGGGATTGATCCACCCCAAATTTAAAAATGTCTTAATTTTTAAGGTTAAAATTTGGTGTAATTATTTCTAAAATATATTGTCATAATTGTTTCTTGATTTATTTATAGTTTTGATTAACAATTCATAACCAAAATCTGTGTAATATTCTGTATAAATTTGGTATAATTTGTCCTCGAAATTTGTGTTAACTTTGACTTTAATTTTTTAAATCTCTATTACTCCGTATAGTTTTAGGAATTGAAATAAATTTCTTGATTTTATTCTTGATATTTGTTACTATCAACAAATACCTTGTCTATTTGAACTTTTATTGAATGTGATTTGTGCCTAGTAATTTTACTGGTTTGTTGTTTTCATTGGGAATTTTATCTGTTTTTTTCAAGTCCATGGTAGATTTTTGTGCTGTGTTTTGTTACTCCCTGTTTTTTTTCATATTTATTGTTTTTATGGAAGTTTTTCTGTTTTTTTTTTTTGTTCAAAGTCATTACAAGTTTTGTTTATTCATTGTAGTGCAGGTTTCATTGGGTTTGCTTGTATGTTTTATGCTCTGTTTTTAGTTTTCAGATTTGTTTTCAATTTTTGTATACGCATCAGCTAACTTCAATTTTGGTAAAGCAGGTGTTGAGCTGCTTTTTTGGGGGTAAATCATGATCACCTTTTGGAGATATAATGAATACTTCTCCAGATGACCTACTTCGGTTTTTTGTTTTCTATTTTTATTAATGTTATTTTATAAACTACGAAGTTTAAGAAACCTAAAAATCATAATTTTTTAACTAAAAAAATATCCTACTTTTTCATATATTCTTTTAAGTTGAAATTAGTTATGTGTATGTATTTTATTTTCTCAATAATTAATTATAATATTTGCTCATACCCTTAATTGTAATTTCATAATTTCAACTACTTACAACGGCTAATTCTGCCAAACATGGCTATTTATAATAGACACCTTTTATGAAACAGCCACAGTCTTTTCCGTCTACAAGCTTTTCAACTCAAAAAAGTTAACAGTTACTAAAAAACATAAAAAAGATCTTTTCGGCTTGTCAGACCAAACATAGCCTAAGGCTATCCGCAATCCTGGAACGAAAAAGCCACATTTGAGCTTTTCACCCCAAAATCATCTCCAACCCAAAGTATAGAATGGTCCTAAAGTGGGATGGGAGCACCTTTGGGGTGGATTTTAACGGGCATATTGACAGCAGAGATGAGCTTCTGCGGCAACATGACATAAAATTTGGGGATGTGTGAAACTAACCCCATTTTTATTTAAAGTATTGTACTCCGTAACTTTTTTAGTTTTGCTTCAATTTTTATAAAAAATATATCAAAATTCATAATTTTTTATTATCTTTCATATGACATCAATATGGAATATAAAAAATAAAAAAAATGAAGATTTAACTGCAGATAATTTTTAGACCAACAATTTGTCTAATATAAATTAAGTGCTAAAATTTAGATCTCATGGTTAAAATATTATTCATACAACTTTTGGTTGTTAATTTTTTCAAAGATGGATCTAAAATAACAAAAAAAATTAAATTCTAAATTTATTTATTTTTACATAAAAATATTTGACTTTTATTTATCATAATTATTTTGGAAAAAATAGAGAGAAAAAATTATGTATAATAATAAAAGTAAAGTTTTAATTAAAACTACGTTGTTGATTGAATATATTGATGGTGCTGGATTGTTGTAAAAATTGAATTGACGAAATGAATACATATAAATTGTGGGAAAATTTGATTTATTGATGGGGATGAGTTGTGGTTAGCT